GGCTCTGGAAAATTGCTTCGAGTGTAAAATGACTTCAGCCGAAGTTTCATTGTTTTACACTACCATAAAACTATCGCACCAATTATCAACGTCGTGAAGAATAAAGGCTTAGCCAAAACGAACGGGATTCGTGCAAGAGAAACCATGGCTCCCCAAGGAAAACTAAATACAAGGTTAAATCGAATTAAACTAACCTTTCCGGTCCACCTCACTCCCTTGAAAATACACAAATAGCAGACTACCCAAGCAATGAATAAGTAGAGAGCAAGATCATATCGAAGACTACCCGGATGATCGATACCTTCCGAAATACCCAGAACTTTGTAGCTGAAAAGCATTAACCACAATAAATGTGATGCTCAACATATACTACAGTACACATACGCTCAGTGGAGGCATAAGCGAAGACGCAGGCTACGTCATCAAGGATGTCTTACTCCGCCTACACGATCAGTGCGGACGGTGCACACAAACACTGAACCCCTTGGTAGTAAACATTGCCCTCTCGGACAGTCTTTGAAATTCTGCAAAATACTCTTCTATCTGACAAATTCTCACTTCCAAAACTCCTTGACAGGTGACTGAACACTCAGATCCTGCGCTGTGCAGACCGTGAAGTTCGACTTAGCTCCAATGAAGAACTGCTTTTTGTACTCGAGTAAATGATCAGCAGTCAGAACCTATAAAAAAATTGACTTCGTATACTTTTTTATCTACTCACTTTTTATTTACCGATCGATAGAATCGAAACAGCAGAAGAAGAAATTATCACACGGCTCTCCTCAACGGCCTCACTTTTCGAATCGAAAATTCAGTTCAAAAGTTATCCTCAGAGACACTCAGATTCCATGAACGTAAAGTTACATCAGCCCGCCGCTAGGCGACTGTCCCCAGCGCTAAAGGCATTGCTGCGGTGTCTCAGCCTATTTGGCCGTGTGAAGGCTTTGGGAGATACACGGCTGGATTTTCGTAAGAAAAGGAGCTATACTCGTGTTGAGGAAGGCAGAACACCCCGCGAAAAAATTCTAGCCACATCAATCCCCAGAGACAGTGAAGCCTGGTACAATTTTTGAAGAGCTGTGCCGACGATGCTTCATAGTGCAGTAGCAAACCAACCTTGACGTTGAAGAATTCAGCTATCGTTCGATTACTGTCACACGGCAGTTTTTCGTATTCAGATCGACATCTTGGTGTATTCCATCTGAATCAGTTGTAGTATGAATGAGAAAGGGTGACTTTTGAGATCAGTTCCCTCAGCGTTAGGCGTTTGCCTTCATACGTTTATGAAAGCCGCGAGGGATCTGCATGCGCACATGTTTAGGGTGATCAAGGCGCACACTACGCTGGTAATGTGGACGGGGCAGGTCTCCTGTTGCCATCCTTTCCTTTGCCCTTTTCCACTCTTAGAAAGAGTGGCGCACCAATGACGAAGACACATGGTGAGTCTGAGGTCCGCCCAAACGACCAGGGCAAACTGCTCAGCATGGTGTTTCTCTTTTTGACGTTCAGTCCAGCTCATCT